CATGTTTCAACACTGCTGCTGTACATAACAAGGACTTTAGAGCCGTTTGCATTGAGGGCTTAATGCTGATTGTTGTTGACATTAAATGCCAAATGAAAAAGTGACAAGCTGACAAGTTATTAGAAAAACATTCTGATTCAGAATCAGAATCAGAATCGAGAGAAATTATGATTGGGGGGCATGTCTTCATATGGTGCATTACCCCATTAAACGCTTCCAATCATCCCTGATCAGCCGTTCACAATGTCTAATAACATTTTGCCATTTGTCTGCACGTACTGTAGTAAGAGCCTCCCGCCTTAAGGACTGTACAACACCAATAGCGCCACCGTGTTCCCGAATGTTTATTGTAATACTGTCCCCCACGCCAGTTCAATTGGAAAATACTGACAGTGGTAGGAATATTGAAAAATAGGTGGATAATTCCTCTTGGTCTCGTCACTGCCATAGCATTTACCCTAGACATATTTATAAATCTGTTCTTTTAGGATCTCTGCTGGGTGCTTTTAAGTTGTTCTTCTAACTTCTCCACTCAGTAAGAACATAATTTATCATAAATATTGCGATAGAACGCGCTCATAGAAACGATTCAAATTTACGCGGTTCTTGACGTCTCAACTGACATATCAGTCACTATTGCAGTGTCGATAAAGTAAAATAAGAAGGTGTAAAAAAATACTAAACTACACAGTTAAGAGTAAATTTTTGGGTTTTGCGTGTCCTTGACCTTCGCGCCCATTTTGAAATAGTATATTACGTAATAAGAGTTGTAAGAAGCATCTTACGCACGAATTGAAAAAGTTGCGCACGAGCCGCGAAGCGGCGAGTGCGTATTTCCATGTGCGTAAGGGCTTTACAACTCGAATTATGTACTATACTTTTTCTACGAGCACAGACAAAGAAAAAAATATTTTTTATTCATGAACATTAACATTTTAGTTTTATTAGATATTGTAATTATTTGTAGTAATTGTTTATTGTCACTGTACAGTTGTTAAACACAAGGGAATGGTCGGTAGTATTAGTTTTGTGGCTACTTCGCACAGTGAGAGCAATACTCACGTAACTCAAAACCAGCGTGTTTTGAGTAATGGTGATTTAAAATTCCCAAGTTTCTATATATTATTTGTATCTTAAATACCAAAGGCTTCGAAATACATTATAGTCGTATTGTCAATCTATTATTAATCGTGTTTTTATTCCTTTAGAGTAGACCCTTCTACTCGTTATAGAAAACAAGAAATTTTGACTTACGTGACTCTTGCACTGCTACACCATATCAAATATTTTGGCTTGCGTGTTAATAAATTTAAGACAAGAGCAAACTAGCAACACATTGTAATGAAAAAATATAACAAAACACAAAACGATCACAGTATTAATTCATTCAACATCTATACTGACCGGCAAAAAAACCGGTCACCCTGAAAAATTTCGCAAAACCACTTTAAAATAACGGAAACAGACCAAGTACGATATTTTCTTAAAAAAAAAAACAATAAAGGAGGCTGTTGTTGTAAATAGTGTTTTTCATCATTTGATTATAAGTTTGGCAATTAAAAAACGCTTTCACGCGAAAATAATTCCGTTAACTCTTACAGACGTCTTTCAAAGTGTCACTCTGTTTCTGTTATTTTGTTAAATTAAATTTAATTCTGCGTTTAATTGGCTTCTTTTTTTTGCTAATTTATACCTTATATGTCAATAGTGAATGGTTCTTTAATAAAATAACGATCACTAGTTAAATTAATAATTTTTAAAGCTTTGTTTTGCGAAATTTTTCAGGGTGGCCGGTTTTTTTTTGCCGGTCAGTGTACTATGGCTAAATTGTTATAAAATGTGTTATAATTTTATTTAATTACACTGGTCAACAAAATTCAATTTTTTCTCTCTAACTTTGACATAATTGTAATGTTTTCGTTCAATTTGTGTCTGTGTTTGTAACAAAGGGCATAAACCTTACAACTTAGCTCAATTAAAAATAAAAATGCATATTTGATGTCAAAAACAAAAAAGCAGGTAAAACAATTTAATTTTTGTATCTTTAACGGCAAAAAGTGATGTATTAACAAAAGAACAACCATAATTAAGAAAAAAACAACGATTGTAGTTTAAAAAACGAAAAAAACAAAAGAAACAGCTAAGACCGACGTTTTTTCGGTTGCCTCCTATGTATTTCATTGGAGATCTCTCGCTTTATGGTCCCGCAGTATTCTGCGAGCATTTAGGGGTTCCATCGATCTTGGTAACGTTTTTGTATCCACAAAATGCCCAGATGGAAACGTTCTCTATGTCCGTCACTCACGTCGTCATAATTTTTGGGGAAAAAATCAAGATGCGAATACATAAAATGCACTTTTAAGAATATGTTAATTTTAAATTTTTTATATGATGATAACATGTTTTCTACTTACTAAACGTAGTTTTCTTATTGTTTCCCAAGAAGTTTGTAGCAATTTGATCACAAAAAAATACACCTTATAGAAAGTTTCCTATTACTTAATAGTACGATTTTTGTATTTTTCAAAGGATAATATTGAAGATTACTTTTAAATGAGAGCTAAGTTTGGGTTTAGCCGTTTATAATATCATTTAAAATTGTTAATTAAATAATAATTGGCTGCTATAATAAAAGTTAGAGCTTAGCTGTTGACCAGTGTTATTTTTTTTATACATAATTGATTCAGCCCATCGTATTTTTTTACGTATTGCTAAAGGACCTTCATAAATATTGTTTAATCATTTTCATTTAAGTCTGATGCCGCCGTTGTCGTGATGCTCGGGAATTGATTGACCATTATTTCCTGATATACTTCCTTTCTATACAAAGTTATAAAATTCCATCGGAATTTTTGACAAATTTTAATTTTTTTATTTCGCTCTAATTAACATTCCTACCTTTCCTATTCAAAGAAAAATTGATTTCCATGTTTTCGGTCAATTCTTAACTAGATCAGAACACATTGTGCACTTGTTGTGTTCAATTTGTACCTAAATTAGTAGGAGTATCAGATTATTATCAACATCGACTGAAATCTCATAGCTTCATAGCTTACTTGCATTTCACTTAGTTTTGAGATACGGCAGTCTTGCATTAAGTGCGCACGTAATTTTCGGAAATGCAATACAAACATTTTGATGAATTTGAGCATTACGCAACTATTAAAAACCGTTTATACTTACATATACTAAAACTACATTAACTTTTTTATGCATTAATGATAAATTTAAGAATTCGGTAAATTTTGACTTACGTGAGTATTGCTCTCACAGTGCGACTTGTACTCTGACTACAGGTTGCAGTCACATTATGTTCTGAAATAGCATGATTATTTGATGTAGTAGGACTTGTTTATCGCAGATGCGATTTTTAGTGAATTGTCGGTTTTATTTTTCACTGAATTATCTACATAGCCTTCAGCTACCGATGACGACCGCCATCCACCATGCCTTTTTAATGCTAGTAAATCACCACCAGTATCAACTAGGATGGTGGCAGACGATCGTCTGAAACAATGACCAGTGTATTGTTTTGGATCTGGTAAACCAAGATATTCTGCTATATTTTTTGGTACACTACCAATCTTATTTATGCCGACACACTGCTTGGTGCATTTTTGGTTTATGTAATTTAAAAAAAAAGGTAGTGATTTTGTATCATCTCCTGAAGGACGTAGGTTCATATACTTCTTACAAGTTGGATAAAAAGTTTTAGGTACAACAAAAGAACGTTGAGTTTTTGTTTTTGAATCAGGAATGGTGATAATTAATGATTTCCAGTATCTTGCACATATTCAGGTTTAATATTTTGCAATTCCTGTTTTCTGCATGCACCACTAACCGCAATGATAAGAACAACCTAAAACAAAATGTTATATTTATGAGGTTATAACATAGATGTGAGATACCTTCATAAATAGATATTGCGTATCTGGAACATTTTGTAAAAAATCATTTATATTTTTGCTTGTTAAAGTTTTTGACTTTTTGCTCTTAAAGCCATCTGCTTTTCTTTTTAGTAGAGCTATTAATTTAGGATAAGTGGCAATGTTGATTTTGTCATGTTTTATGTTTATTGTAGCCCTTAACATTGAATATATCGCCCAAAGAGAAGATGGTTTCATTGTAGTTGACAACTCTTCAAAATATGCCAACATTACGTTTTCTGACAACGAATTTACTTTATTTTTTATTTTCCATTCCATAAATTTTTGGTAGACAATTTCAAATCTTTCACGCGACTTTGTGGGCAATAGATTGTCGATAGCCGTTTTGGCCTTTTCAATTATCTCCGGCGGCGTGCACATTAATTCATCACTATCGCTAGACATTTTAGACTACAATTAAATAGAATCCGTAAAAAGAGAGAAATGTTGATATTTTTTGCAGTAAATGTTACCTTCTTCGTTTTCTTCTTTTAAAATTCTTTGATTATGCCTCTTTTATTAACAGTAACGCTGACAGTGCTTCACAATTTTGTATTTGCCTGTCCGTCTTGTCATTTTCACTACCAACCTAAATTGAATAAATCGAAAAATCCCTAACTGTGCGATCTGCTTTTCTTACGCACGCTGTGCGTAAGGACACGCATACATGATTAGCGAGTTGTGTGATCTTAACGATTTACAGTGGTGATCGTAGAAAAAATAATATATAATCCTCGATTAATTTAACAGAGGATTAAAATGTGGAATATGAGCCCGTGATTGGTTAGAACATACACGTTACCTAGCAACGGACCTCAATTAAACGTTAATCGCGAATTAACTTTTAATTGAGGTCTGTTGCTAGGCAACGTGCATGTTTTAACCAATCACGGGCTCTATTCCACATTTTAATCGTCTGTTAAATTAATCGAGGATTAAATATATATTTAATTCGCCTTTCTATAAACCGGCCCCTATTAGAGTTCTAAAAATTCTTGATACGTATCTTATGGAAAAGACTGAGCTGAAAGTGAATTTAATTTGTATGGTGATAATGTATGTTTTGTGTTGCAGATTACTTCGTGTGGAACTAGTGATTCTTCAGTACAATCCGTGGAAGATCCACAACAAGTGGAAGCTGCGATCGTACATTTAATAACCAATCTACCTTCGCCTGGCTCAGATCATCGCTCAACTCCCAGTCCTCGAGTATATTACAATGTAAATGAGAATCAAGACTGTTCTACTACGACTGAAAATTCCCCTATCAGACCATACCACATGAAATTAAAGACTGCATCCAAACGACCGCCCAGTACTGAATTAAGAACCAACATATATAAGCGACAGAAAACGTCACCTCAATTGCCATCGCTTTCGAATGTAACGCCTTATCAAAATAGGTCTCAACTTACCGAAATAACAGTGAGTAATCTTTCTTGTAGGCAAAAAAATTGTATTTGATTTTTTTTATCATATAGCAGCAAACGGAACCATCATTGTATCAGCATGACCAATTGCTTCGCAACAAAATATGAAGTCACTATTGTGTAATGTGGAGACTGAAAATTAGGCCATACTTAATGGGCAACAATTCGCTCATGAACAATGTATAGAAGGTGTGGTGATGTTTTAATGATCGTGGTGAAACAAATAAGAAAAACCTGACTACGCATAAGACAAAATTCGATTTATTTTATGATTGAATTATTCCCTATTCGTTCAGCTGAAAGAATAAGTTTCAAATGCGCAACTTCACAGAGACAAGTTGAAATTTGGATGAATCAAGTGCACATTTGAAAATATACTTTGCTGTGTGAATAGACTGTAGATGTAAAAGTTGTATAGATTTTGCATATTCTCGTAATATACATATACCATATACTGATTAAATATAGTAATTCTGTGATGAAGTTTTCTTTACGTTAAATTTAGATGTTGTCGTCTTGTATATTTAGTACAAATTTATTAAGTTTTAATTTTATCCATCGTCTTTAATCTAACCCCTATTCGTTACAAGTAAATTCAGGCATGCACGTAAAACATCTTAATAATTGTACTAAACAGGACCATTCCTGAATGTCAGACAGTCAATGTGCGACAAATAAGTTGTATTAAGCTGGCTCAATATACCATTAAGTCGTAGTAAGATACTTACATCTTGGAAAACGACTACTTTACATGAGAATGCCAAAGTAACCGAACCCGACGTATTTGTAAAAAACGAGGAGGTTGAAGTAAAAACGGAGGGAGCACTTCGTATGCTTTCAATGGTACCGTTTTGGGACAAAATTAAACACCGTTTACGATGGGTCTGTTGATTGTGTGCACATGTGAGGAGGCTAAAAACCCCAACGTTTTACCGGTACTCCATAGGCGTACATGGCGATTATTTTGTTCCCTCACTTACGGTGTATATACCTATTATACGTCGTGCGTTATTTTTTTTTATATGAAAACATCCAAACTTTGTAAATCATGAAATGGAAATAAACAATCTTGGAAAGACAATTAGTGTTCATAAGTTTCAGTTCGTTTCATCCCCATGACGGATGATAAGCCTAACTGCTCCGTCACTGATTGGCGATACTTTCAAATCTAGGGGTGTGGTTAACTCCAGTGCATAGTCGTAAAGGTGTTTAGATTCCAAGAGGTTGGGGCTATAAATTTCATAGTATTATCGCTCTGTTCTTACTCCACCCTCCACGGTAAAAACAACTACATTTGTAACAAATTGTGGGGTATGTTTATATTTCTGTTCATGTTTGCAACAAAATACTTCAGAAAATACGTATAACGCAAAGAGCAAGAAGGAAACACAGTGTCAATATAAATTTAAAAGTTTTCTTACTATTTTGTACAAAATAAAAAAAAAAGCAATGCAAAATTTAAAATGGTGAGATCGGGTGAAATGAAGTATATTTCGAAAAAAGATTTAAACTATAAACTAAACCAAAGGAAAACTACATTTAAAAAATCAATTGTTATTCATTTTAAAAAAGTCGTATCCATATTCGAATCATGTGAGTAAATACTACAGTTCCCATCAAAACTTCTTGGACAACAATGTCCACCAATTGTCATAAACTGTAAAGCGACCTTTAGTAGCTACTTACTAACCCTATTTTTCGTTCTGATCTGCCAATCCCTCACAAAATGTGACAACTCAATCAATATTATCAAAAATATACCTTAAGATCGCTGCAATTTACCGATAAGACATACCACCTTCTATTAACGATATTATTTACAGAACACAGATGGCATTTCAATCAAGATGACTTAAGAAAAAATGTCAAACAGTGACAGTTAAGCTTGAACTATATACATTGACGTTTTGATGTCCAAGAAGTTATGACGGGAACTATATAAATGTAAGGATCTGTTTCACCACAACATTTTGATTTGTTTAGACTTGATTGTAACAAAATAAGTTTGAATTTTAAACGGACGAACGTGTTTTTTTCCTCATTTTTCTGATTAAAAATAATTTACTAGTTCAATTTTAATTTTGTTGAGTACAGTTGTCACTTGAGCAAATAGTGGAATAATCAGTATCAAATCATTGTTTCCGACAAGTAGGGGAATTTACAGGAGAATGTACTGCAGAGTATGATACATAAGCAAGGTCATTTTTTTACTTTTAGCAGCAACTAACTCTCATGACCTTTCTAAAGCCATCAGCATTACAGGTAATCTAACCGTTCCATTTAAGAAACAATCTTACTTGGTCGTATCCACAACTTTCATCCACTTGTTTGTTACCTTTGGTGTATGTATAACAAAAATTATTGTTTGTAGGAAATCAATTTAATTAACGATAATTAACCCCATTGAATATCTGCCAACCTTTCATATATCACAAAATGAAATTAATCTTGCTTGAAAAATGTATGCACGACCTGCAGCATATTGTCCTCTCCTTAACTAAAACTTAGAAGTTCTTGCTAATTTTGTCAGTTAGTTTTTATGTTAACCAAATGAAAGCAGTAACCTATTGGAATCTAGTACTGTCAAAATTTGTGACCACCGACAAAATGTAATGAATAAAAATTATAATTTGTAAAATTTAAAATGATCAACCGATTTATTCACCTTATTAGCTGTTTTAAAGTATTTATATGACTGTACTCCAAAATCAAATTGCCATTTTAAAACACTATTATCACTGATAAAAACAAAAAATAAAGAATGAAGACAAGTGTTTGAGGATCACACTGTTGTTACATAAGTTAAAAAAATTAAATTCAAAGTGTTTCATTCAGTTTGTTTTCCGTTGTTCGGCCTATATTTCATTTTATCACATGCCTACCATCTACTAGAATGTTAAAAGTATCCTAAGCATGTACAGTTGGCATGAAGTGTTTTGTTGTTTCTGTATGATTACCTATGCATAAGTGTACGTTCATTTTTGTAATCCAGTTTTGTGTAACGGTCTGTGTGTCGCGTTTTCTGCGGCTTTTAAGTGCATTTTAGTCAGAAACATTCATACTCCTTAAGAATTTGTTAGTGCGAACGTCAGCTTTGTATGAAGTACTGTACCTAGTAATATTTCACAATGGAATTTAAACGTTCAAGTTCATTTAAAAATAATTATAAACTGAAAATGTGGCCATTGAGTTAAATTTTAATTGAATTATTATTATAAAATAAATAATCTCATTAGCTATTATCTACCAACATTTCTGCAGAAAATCTAATTCACAATTTAAAAAAGTGACAGGTTACTTTCTTTGATTAAAAATCGAAATACTTTAATTAATAAATTATGAATATTATTTTATGATGATTGATCATCGTTGTGACAGACAATTTGCCATAACCCATAACCAGTAGCTTCAGTGATGCAATCGCTAAACAGTATCGATTTGTGAAGATGCAAGACAAAAACTTTTAAAAGTGTTTGCGTAAAACATAATTATCAATCATATTATGGACGAAGGACAGCAGCTAAACTAGGCATGTCAATGTGAAATTTAGTGGAGAAACTCATGTAACTGAAAATCAATGTCTTCAAAACAGGAAATTTATAAAAAACGCTTCATTAAGTAGTTCAAGCGTAGTAGCACAGGAAAAGCTAGAAACATTTCAGCATATATTTCTATATGTTTCAAATATTACACTATGAAAGTGTGAATAAAATATTAAATTTAAACGCAATTTTAAAATTAGCGATTTCAATTTATGCAAACTAAAAAATTAAATAAAAAAAATGTAACTTTGATGTTGTAAATGTTTTGTACTTTCCGTTAGTTGAAACCACATAATTTGAAAATTTACCAACATCTAGTTACTAATATAAATGTTTTGATTTTTACACATTCATCGCTAACTCAGTATATGTGAATTTTCTAAACAGCCATTCCCTAATTAAGTCAAGAGGAACTAACGTTAGTAACGTTACAACATTTATCCAAGCTGTTGGATATTTATTGCATTATTGTTAAGGTAATCATACTACTACAAAGTTAGCGTTCGCATTTAAAAATGTAATTATTTGTACTTGAGTTTATAAAATTAGAAAAAGATCGTGTCATTTGTAAGTGCAACACTTTGTAAGTTATTGCCTTTTCTGTAATTTTTCCGATTATTCTTCTAAGTGAATAATAGTTGTGATGTGTAGAATATGAAATTGCCGTAATCAAACATCATTTTATCAATGACATATTTTTCAAATCCTTAGAAAAGTAAATGACTTGACCGTTTTGCACTCCAAACATACACCCAATTTAAGCCTACGGTGAGGTAAAACGTCCCATGAACGATTTCCGTTGTTGAAGTAATCAAAACGTGTTATGTTACTACAACACGGGAAATTTTTGTTTATTTCACATGCGTTGGGTTATTAGAATATTTTTCGATTATGTCGATTATCAATAAGAAGTCATGGTCTAATCCGTTTGTATTTTAACAACTTTGCACACAAGCAGCTGCATACGCAACATTACATCTGAAACATGAGTATTAGAAAAGATAACGAAATTGTTAAAATTTAACAGATGGTGACAGATATGTGGTTAATATTGAGGAACTGGAGCTGCTGTCAAAAGGTTAAAAATAAAGAGGATACGGTCAGCCTTTTTTACGTATCTAATCAAATTCAGAAAGTAATGAATCTATGGATTTTTCTAATGTAATTGCAGTTCATAACCTTGAATGTCAGTTTTGCAATAGTAGCAGAAATTCACGAGGTAGTATTGCAGTTGCACAATTGTACCTACATAAATGGTTGTGGACATTGGACAAGTTGTGTTAAATCATCCAGGAACCTGATTTACAAATTTTTCTTGTGTTGTCTCTAGAGACAACTTGTACTCTCGTGTCGGTAAAAACGATTGGCTTAATACATACATTAAATGAGCAATAAAAGACAATGATTTCAAGTATTGTATGTACACCTATAAGAAAAGCATATAGTTACATTTTAGTTGTATAATTTAATCATTAATAAATATTTAATCTAAATTACGTAGGACTTTATAGCAACAATGAAAAGCTATTTTCACATGGTTTAAAAATTGCTAAATTTGCTCAGCACGTTTTGTATGCTTTTTGCAAAGGTGTACATCCCTAAGATACAGAGAATTTTACTCTTTCTAATTCATGGTTACTTGTGCAAATTTTAAAATTTTCCATCAATTGTTTTTTTATTACTGTAACATTTTACTCAAGTTTAGAATCCTTCAAGGGACTATTTTACCTACTGGACTAAATATTTACTTTACGTAAACAGATACTTTCGGTTAATGTTTCTACAAATTAAACACATTATTCTATGTAATATGGGCATAGCTTTTTACATCTAAATTCAGTTTAACAATTTTTTTTGTTTGTCAACAATATTTACCATTTCAAAAATTTGTATATGTGGTCGCTGGATATTTATCGATTTATTTATATTAAATGTGTTAGCTATTTCACTCAAATGTTTTAAATATTTATTTTGTTAATATTCCCACATTTATGTTCTTTGTAAGTTTGTATGAAAACAATAACTTTATTTTAACTATGCTTCATTGTGTTAATTATATAAATATATACTTTTCTGTTTATATTTCAAAAGTATTTATTTTGTTAACTCCAAAAACCTCAAGTCAATGTAATTCGGAAAAGTGTACCCAATTCCACAAAATACACGGGTAAGTACGGTATGTACACTCTCGTTTCGTTTAGGATATACCTTATACAATTATATATACCCCATGGGACAAGGGAAGAGGGTGATCCTGGATTAACAACCAAGTAGATTCAAGATGCACTGTAACTGCATTAGCCAACAATAGGACACTGCATCTCCACCCCATCGTCAGGAGTTCAATACTATCATAAAATTTTATGAAGTACATCCTAAACCGATTTTGAAAGGTATTCCTGTTTTGTTTTTTCGAGCGCATTTGAGGGATAGTTAAAAAACTGTTCTGGTAATTTGAACTGAACCAGATGTTTTTTTATTATTAAATGAAAACTAACTACGTACTATGCTATTTACAAAAAAGTAATAATTTTATTTCTACCTTACAAAGAGATTATTTTACTTTTTTGTCTTTTTTTTTTTTGTTGGCGAGTCACTTTGTTCATTATTTTCGTCTAATTTTCTTTTAATATTACCTGAAAGAATATGTTTTAACACAAGAAATATGAATAAATAAAAGAATTACTTTTAACCGTCACTACACTGAAGTTTTCTTGGATGTCTTTCAGTTCATTCTGAACCGGATCTGCATCTGCCTGGGTTGAAGATGTAAACAATGTTTTCTTTGCCTTTGCACATTTTTTATGATTTTTGGATGGCAACTTTTCTCGAATTGCAGACTTTTCATCTTCAACTGTTACACTGAAATTTTGGATGGCAGCTTCATCTACTCTTGTTTGAATCGAAGAGGGTGTAAATAACGTTGCCGTTGACTGTTTGGACTTCTTCTGATTTTTCAGTGACAAATTCTCAACTGTAGAAGTCTCTTCGTTTTCAAATTTATTTTGAATGGAACTGGAACATCAAACTTTTTAATTCTCAAAATTTACAAATAATAAATTAATTAAACTAAAACCGACCATACCCATATTTTCTATATAGCAGCAGTAATATTATATTTTTTGTGTAAAAGCCAACGACCACTGTACTGAGGAGAAACACCAGACCTTGTAAATAATATTTAGCTTGCCAGTCGCTACCCGCAAGAAGATGAAGGGATTGATTGTATATACTTGGAAATTGCTACATTTATGCATATTTTATAATAACGTTCACAAAATTTGCCATCAAGAAAAATACCTACGGTGTCCTGTGATTCGCTTTGTTAAAAGGCCTCAGGTGAGACACTGGAATTTTTAGCCTTCAAAATCTGAACACATACAAATGAATTATGTATGTACCCCAATATTACTAATTAAAAAATGTATTTTTGTCATATAACCATAGAAAATGTGGGCTACTAAAACTGAACAAGTGCAATGCCCCAATTATTTTCTAGAACTGCTATGCGAGACCAACCTACATGCATATTGTTCATAGTATAAGAAACTACGACCCCTACGAAATTCTGTAAAGCACCTAAAACGAGTGGCTCAAGCGCTCCATTACCAAACCCGATTTTTAAAAATTCTTCTTATAAAGATTCTTTCTGAGTTACTCCCAATTTAAAGTCACAGTAAAACATGGAACGATAAGGCTCTCCTGTTAACTCCAGGTTTCTACCACTTTCAGTCGCTCTACAGTTTCTAATAACGTAAACACAGTAATGACCTGACACTTGCATACTCATGTAACATTATATCACGCTATAATTTTCAAAATGCTGTAAGGTTATATACGGTTGTTATAAAATTAAGGTATTGTAAAATCGACAATGGATCAGTCAATAAGGTAAACCCACAATTACATATTTTTCCACGGTACCTAATCCCGTCCGTCATCCCTTCCAGAGAAGGATTCAAGAAAATGCGTTACTCTTCCAGTACTCAATTATTTGGACATATTAGAATGCACCGTGTATTATCATATTACATTGTTTTGTTTCTGGAATCTATACATTACATTTACAAATAAATAAAAGTTTTGTATTCGAAACTGTTCTGGAGAAATGGCTATAGATACAAATAAGCAATACAGCTAAAACCGGATCTGCGGTGGTGGGCAGGATACTGGGACAAATCTTTGATCTATAGCAGTAGATTCGTACATACCAGTCACGAGCCGCACAAAAGGATTATTATTTCCAATTATTAGCTTTAGTGCGGCCACATAACCTTAGGGAATTTGGAAGACTATAGTATAATATTAATTTCCTAAAACCCACTAATTTTTCGTATCCCAAATATTGGAGTAGGCCTCGCATTAAATCTTTTGTAACGAAAGGTCAACAACAACAACGGCCGACTCTTTTATGTTTTCTCGACCTTTCATGGCACCTACAGTACTAAGAAATAGGTCTCCCGTTTCCGTCTCTCTGTCTGCCCGTCTGTCAGCCGTCCCGGATTTTAGTTACAGATAATCTCCGAAAGTATTGGGCCGATTGTTGTCAAATTTTGTATTTATATTAGGAATATAATGTAGATGGTAAAACCCTAACCAAAATTTGTCTAATCGTCCCCACCAATAATGTGATGACCTCACTTCAAAATTGTACATAGTAAATTGGTTTTAAATTGTATAAAATAACATGGCACTACACATGTAGTTTCTGACTCGGTATTGAGTTTTTACACGAAACGGTCAGATTTTTGGGAAAAAAATCGAAATTATTATATAAAACATCATTTTGTAATTTAATTTTCGTTTTATTTTTATAAACTCGCATCACTCATCCATACCATTCATCGATTTAACGTCATAAAATTTTTAATGTATGTACTCGATGGTAAGTGAAGTACTCGAAAAAAATGTTAAAAAAAGTCCCTGCACCAAACCTTTGGAAATAGTGAACGTCAAATTTGAAGAATTAACTTCGAAATTCTGATTTGTTGTAATGAACTGCATTGTCTAAAAGACAAGAAGTTAAATAATTAGTTATTAATAATTTAACAATAATTTGCTAAAATACGATTCACAACGTCATTTTTTACTGTTGAAAGATGTCATTTTTGACTATTTTTATAGAAATTTTAGATTTTCAATTAAATTGACATTAAAACATATCAGAATTACGAAGTAGTTTTGAAGTTTCATATGTTGAAAAATTTGGTTCGGAGATTTTTTGGCCATTATTTTCGAGTTCTGTAGAACCTTCTTAACAACGTACCATCGTGCATATACGTCACAAACCCAGGCACGCACGCACTAGAAACTTTATGGTTAAAATTAAAAAACTTACATGATTTCTCCTTTTATATAAGGTAGTTTTCTATCAAAGTCCGTAGAGGTAATTTTTAATTCTACTTCATCATTAATACTTAGAGAATCTCCAATCCAGTTTTCTGAATGTTTAGGTTTTGGCAAAGAAATATTAAAAATGTTGTGTACTAAGCAACCCACATGATCTTTACTTATCTTGTTAACAACTCCTTGAAGTAACTTTTCTGTGGCTGGCTTAAAAAGAAAATAGTCTGCTTCAGTGTCCACATGGATAAAACAGGAATCATCACAAATATATCCGTTCTGAGATGAAAAATTTACATTTTTGTAGCCACAAAGTATTCCTTCCAAACTAAAACAAAAAATATATAATATCTTAAAAAATCTTATTCATAAAAATTTTATTGTTGGCGTGAACAGCAGCTTGGCGAAATGTTGAAATTATCGTAACTTGCTTATTATAAAAGCAAAACAAATAGACTCCAGGAACATATTGTTTGGTGAACGGCGAGGGTACCATCCTCGACAATCCTGGTTATTTGCAACTTGTGAACAAATACATTATACTATTCATACAAGTTTGTAAAATTTGCACAATTAGCAGTGTTGTGAAAAACAAGTTATTGTTAAGGTAGCTGTATATCTTATAATTGCAGCAAAACGTTAGGTCGAAATATTTTCATAAGTAACAGGTATAACAAGCGAGCTCGAAATTGTTGAATTTTTTTTCGGGAGACCAGTAGTTTGTTCCGAGAAACAAACTAGGAGTAACTGGAGAGACAATTTCTGTGTTAATTTTGAACTCCCGAGTTATATTCGTCATGAAAATTTAACCCACATAAAATGACATGTAAAACTCAGTAAGCTATTAATTTTGATTATAACTGCGTCGTTTTGGTTTCATTATAAACGAAAGTGAAAAAATTGTGAAAACTATTAATTGGTGCTAATAAAATTTTCGGAGTATTTTTGCAGTTTTTTACTACAATGGAGAACTTAGAATTGGGGCAGACAAAGACACAGATCAAGCAATGAAAAAATTAAAAACCACTAACACCCAGAGGAGTTACAAATCATGCTGAATCCAGTGCAAGGGATTCTGTGAAGAGAGAAATTATTCCTTCTTAATAGAACCTTCACCTATTGATAGTATTAGCAATATGTTGAGAGACTCGCTTTCAGTATGAAAAAGTCTTTAGATCAAGATTACAAAGAGACCCCCGTTAAAGTGTTGTGGAATACAATAGCGACATTACTATTATACAAGGTATTGCGAAAAATTTGGAATTACATTTGACCCTTTCAAAGATATTTGTTTTAAACCGGTAAGAAATGCAAGAGATGCTAAAAGAAACAATTAACCAGCAGACATAACAAAGCCGAGGGTTAGTTCAGCGGCATTTAAATGAAAAAGAATATTTGTATATGATAAGCTTATGGGACGAAGCAACCTCTGGAAGTCCTGAAAGTTTAGAACATAAATTTTACTTGATTGTGGATGGAGAACTAGTCTGGAGAGAAAATGAAACTGCTAGTTGTCTCTTACGACTCGTCAAGGATGCTCTCATTTCCTAAACAACAATAGATGGTTAATCCCGAAAAAAAGAGCCACCGGAAATGTGTCCCATAAAGGCGGCCAGACACAGAGGGAAACGTCAAGACTTGAATGTACGTGTCACGAGATACAATTAAAACTGCTAGTGTGTGGGAAAGAATCTGGCATGTGCAGTCAAGCCTGTTGGAATCAAAATTGGTTTGATTTTTAGCGTGTACAGTTATAACTGCGCGGGGAAAACTCAGTGTGTGGACACAAGTCGCTGCACGCTTGAGTTTAAATTCAGTTGCGCCGTTTAGAGAGTTCGGCTTTAAAATTTACGACAAGCGTGCACACTTTTGATTGCAGTCTTCCCTCTCTCTGTGTGTGTGCAATTAAAGAGTACGGGTTTAACTTACGACAAGCGTGCACACTTTTAACTGCACAGTCTTCCCTCTCTGTGTGTGGCCGCCTCAAGGTAATTTGATTAATAAATTAATTTAAGATTTTTTTTATTCAAAAAATTTCATTTGCTTTCACATTGTCTAAAAAAATATCAAGAAGAGGTGATCGCACAAAAACAGATATTTCTTACCGTCAATAAAGGGTGGAATACAAGAATACAGAATAGTTCAAAAATTGTCCAGTGGGAATAATTACATTAAGTACTTATATGGTTGAAATTAGGCGCTCAAAACGCAGAACTTGACAGAAAAACATTAAAATCACTAATCACTCTCCTCGTTCATCAGCTACAACCATGTTATCGAAATCTGGCACAGGAAAGCGTAATTAAAATTACATGACGTAGTTCAGGAGCATCTCGGAAACCGTACTTGCGACTTGATCATAACAAGCAATAACTGAAATGATTCAGAACTAGCAATATTAATAAACTGAAAGAATCACCACAACTCTGCCTACCAATTTCTTGCGCTGCAAGCTGCAAGTATAGATACTAATAAGAGTAATAAGACTGTTTACAACAATGTAAAGGTCGTTGTTTGAAAATAGTGTGGAATTTTCGAGTGGTATTCCGCGTAGGATTTCCAATGAAAACACACGTGGAATTTCTAGAAACAATTGGTTGAATTTGAAAAAATTAATGTCACTGTTTGGATACAGTGCATCTTTTTTAAAAATGGCCACAGGGATTCGTTAAATTTTAGATCCCATGTTAACTTCTGTTGGGTGAAAACATAGTGATGATTTTTACGGTGAAAATAGCCTTAGGATTCTACTTTAATTTCCACTACAACTTTTTGCAGTTAATTGCTAATTTTTGTTTTAAAAAAATATATTTTGATAAGAAAAATTTTGGTACATCATAGGCATAGGTTTTAACTCGTTATTTTTGACAACATAATTTCAATACTGCAGTTTTTAGAAAAGAAACAGAACGATGGAATTCTACCATAAACGCAGAAAATTTTCTTTGATTGTATTCTGTGGCATGCTGACGAATTTCGGTCACTAAAAACTAGTAATTGAACAAATAATTAAATTTTTGGGAACATCAGGTAAATGCTTGTTTTTACATGGCTGCCTACAATATTACCGACCAAAAAATCCATTTTTTTTTTTAAGAAATATTCTTTAATTTAAAGCATTTAATGAAATCGACAAAAAAATGACCCAAGTTACATCCAGTACAAATTTCAACTCTGAATCTTTACATTACATTTACTTTATTTACAAAACATTCATTAACCATAGGGTATAAAATTTAACATGGGAATTCCTATGGCCACTTTTACAAAAGATGCATTGTAATTAATATGAGTTGTCAGATTCTTTTCAAAAATTATTGCCGTGTGTTCATAACAAGTTGCCCCTTGCGACGAAAATCACACGAGTCTACAAAGTGGACGGCAAGTATTGCAGAAGAGATTCTCACCAAGAGTTGTAATCAGCAAGACAATTTACTTTTGCCTTACAATCTTTCAAGAAACAAGACTGAATTTAGTAGCACCACCGCTCGTGACATTTTTACTGAATAACCTTTCCTTTTAATTGTCGCATTTTTTGCACTTCTACAGTGTCCCTTTGAAGTATTGCATACGTTCTTAGTTGTATTATCGCGAGTGGAATATTGTAGCATCAAGAATTTGTAGGTTATCTGCGATTGGTGAAGTTCAGTTAAACATGGGCATGTCACTGGTCAAATTTATATCTATTGAATTGTTATTTGGATATTCAGCAAAACTGCAAGCACGTTTCAAACTAGTTTTCTTCAAGTTGAAAAGGGGCCTACTTGTCGTCTAATCACATTCCGGTAGGCATTTTCTGTTGTCATTCGTTCACTGTCCACTTTACCCTGATTATAATACTCAGTATGAGGAATATAAGGGTATTGACTTCAGAAACTACAATAAGGTTCAAAAACATAGTAACATAGTACGCACCGATATAATAATACTGTATAATATTGTGTGTATAATATTTAAATGTATTGTGTTATAGATCATACGTACCGAGGACAATATTTACCAACACGTGTATTTAGAATTTCATTCAACGAATTGTTCAGGTCACTTAAATGATACGGATGCAAAGCCAAATGATCTTGAATTCTTTGTAAATATATACACGAATTTCTATTTTCGCTCTGTTCTTCTAAATCTTTTAAATTAAAACTTTTCGGTAGTTTTTCTTTTTTCATCTTGTCTTCGTTTTGACGACCTCACATATAATGCCCACAGAATAAATGTAAACAAGCATGGCAACCACAGAACATTCACAGAAGATCAGTGACACAGTAGATCAGTAACGAAACTTCAGTAATATTTGCGGAAAGGGTGTGACCTTGAGAGCCCGTTCCCGGGAAATACGAAGATTCAAATATTTCGTAGCATTCGTATAATAATATTAATAATTGTACACAAAAATAAAAATAGCTGGTACTAGTGACATTGGCGATTTTTTTCTTTTTTGTAAATTATTAATATATTCAAGCAAAACATTTTTATTCAATTTTGACGTTTTATTAAACTGCCTTAACAAGTCTGACAAATAAGTTGTTATCCACAAGTGAATTGCAAAATTTTTAATTCACTCTTAATATTTTTAAATCACTCACAAAAAAATAAAAAACAACTTCAGGAACATAAACATTTTGCTTATTATTTTCAATTTGTTTACAATTTTCACTAAAAGGTTGCTGCAACTAAATCAGTATTGTTTGACATATTTGTTTGGCGCTGTGAGGCGTCAATTTGGGAATTGTATGTATAAATCCCACACCAATACAATTCCAAAGAGCGTTTCGGAAACTATTTACTACAGATTATTTCGATACGAGTGCAAGAACCAACTGTGAAACACTATTTTATTTGAAATGAAAAATTTGCGAAGGTGTTCTTTTAAACAAACTTCCACAACATATCTTCCCTGTATTCTGGCCTCTTCAATAATCATTAAGTGATGTGAGTTACCGGAAACTCACCTTGAAAGAACACAACTGTTTATGGTATGTTTGTGGATACTCATTAATACGAAAATTCTTACACCACCACTTCTGCGAAGTTTGTGTGAACTTTGCACATTTTTACGAAGTGGTACATCCTGTTTTAATTGTGTGACATTTTAAAGTTTTCAATGAAGATGTGATTTTTGGCGATTTAATGATGCCACCTGAACATTTTGCAGTTTATACTCCAGTAATGGGTAATACATTTTGTGAGTTTTTCCCAATTTATGCACTGTAGTCGTTAATTGGTTTGTGGCTAAAAAACGAACCATACAAAAATACCATTCCACCACCCCTGCAAAGACTTTCCTCTTGATTACCTCGTTTCAGTTTTTATTAGAGTTAGAATTTTTTACACACTAAAATTTAAAAATAAACCTTGGACCGCTCAAACAAGCACACATCGAAAATTAAACTATTTCGTTTAACCTGCAGTTTGTTGACCTCTTTAGCCTGTGATTTCCTAGTATTTTTTACATGTATCGTAAGTATCTATTACTTTGTTAAAATAAATTTTACGTTTGTTTTTAACCCCATAACCCAACATCCTGTATGATTCCGTAATTAATATGACATTTCTTGTTGACAAAACCAGACAAAACGTTCACCGAAAACCTTAAAATGAAAAAGAAACTGTTCTTCAAGGTCGGAGCACCTTTAGAGACGCTAGTGACCTCTTTATGTCGTTCCGTAAGCTCCCTATGTACAGGTTCATCATAAATGATTGTAGTCAACTTGGCTTTGAAAACAAATGAATTTTTTGCTGTTGCCGCTTCATAATACGGTTCGAAGTAATTCGAACTATTAATTAAATGTCATGCTCTGTTTGAGGTTATTTTCAAAAATAAATAAAACATTCTTTAAGTGTTTAGGCCTAACTGCATGGCATTCACTTAACACTTAGAAGTGTTACGTAAATTCATTTGTGTCCGTGCCCCCGTGTCTCGTGTGTTCGTGCAGTTTATAAAAAAAATATGGAACAACAAAATGCCGAATAACCAGTTGTACACCGGAGGAGGTTTTAATTATGGATTAAGTTTTTGAATATGAATCCAAAGCTACCATAGAAAATAAAAAGGACGATGTCATTTACTGGTGCGACAAAAAATCTGAAAAAAAGTGGTACGAGAACAAGAAAAATGAAGACCGGAAAACAGCCGCAGACGAAGAGGCCGAAAGAAGAAAGATTGGCAAAGGACCACGTCCAGTATTTGAAACAATAGATCCTTGTTTTGGTTAAGTTACGGACATCACAAATCAAAACACTTGTGGAGCCTGGAGACGTACATTTCACATAGTGGGGACGAAAATTAAAGCATCAAACAAACAAATAGCCAAGATTGTGCAGAGGAAATCCTGTGTGTTTAGGTACAAGATGACATCACAGTCTTGGTTCCAATGTTGAACAGAAAAGCATAGTTGAACAGGGTGGTAATCAGTGTTCTGTGGTCATGATTTACCAACAACCTCAAAATACATTTCATTGTTATCTATAAAAAAATTACTGTTTATTTTCAGGACCACTGGCGTGTTACATGCCAAATAATTTTAAAAAGCTAATAGATCAGTAACTTCACAGTTCACACTAAAAATTGGTTCAGTGGAAGAAGAGCAAAGGTTATAGAGACTGTTCATGGGAACATAATTTCACAGAAGTGGCAGGGTTATGAAGTGGCAAAATTAAAAAAGCAATATTTCGGGCAGGAGTTGTTAACTACAAAATAAGGAACGAGAAATTGAAGAATTTAATTTTAGGAAAAGGGTTTTAAAACCAGACCTTGAATTAAACGTACTTACTTCAAAGTAAAACATTAAAGAGTCCATTTTCAATTAAATGATGCTCATTTTTAACGTAATGTTAACAATAACATGAGATATTGTTAGTTTATAAATACATTTTTAGTATGTTGAAAACGGACTCTTTTCAATTAAATGATGCTCATTTTTAATGTAATGTTAACAATAACATGAGATATTGCTAGTTTATAAATAAATTTTAATATGTTTTTCACTATAAATGAAATCAACAAAAAAAATTATTTTATTACCAATAAATTTTTACTGTCTAATATTACAATCTGTTTTAAAATGTTGTGTAAAACAACAGCGACAATCACAACTGTTAACACAGGAAACTATCGTTTCAGAATCCCAAATGTGCATCCAATTCTATTGCGACTTCCAATGTGTGACTGATAATAGAGCTGTTGTACTGGAGTAACGGGAGTAGTGTTAACAAGTATTTTTCTAAGGGATAACTTTTGTTACTTAGAAATATAATAATATAATAAAATTTTCTTAAAATATTCTATCCAAGAGCACACAACTTTGTAGTTGTGCATTTTCAAACAGATCTTAAACTGAACAATGATTAAAAATAGTACTATCATGTGTAGCTACTGATCATTGTGCCACAATATTTGAAATTTAATCCTTTCATCACATATGGCTTGTACATTAATGAAGATATAATCTTCCTGATTTCTAAAAATTTCTGAATCTTCTCCACCTAAAACTTTTACTATTTAATTTTTTATGTTCTATGTTAGCAAAAATTCATATACCTGGTAATTTAATTTTTATATGTGCATATGCAGTCCAAGGCGCCAATGAAGTCTGGAAAACGAGCTAGATGAACAAGGAATTATTCTAACCACTATTGTTTGATGAATGTCCATAAAATCCATAGTACAGTCTAAGTGCGCTCTACCAACGAAATATCATAAACCAATTAAGAGTTAGTTCATTGAAGAGAAACTTTGACTGCTGGAAGTGAAATATTTATCTCTGATTACTGACGTAAGTTCTACACTTACATATCTACATAAAATTCTAGATGATGTTCTAGCAAAGGTGAAATACACATCACTGTTTCTTTGGTCATCTGAAACTTTTTAAAACCTGTGCAATCACTCATACTGTGAAAATAATCAGCTTTTAATTAGGTTACTCCCTGAACATCAAAGCATTCAAATTCTTCCATTTCATCAAATACTTCATTATTCATTATTAAATCATTGTCAACTAGAATTAAGCAGAACCTAATACTTTGTCGCTATATAATTTATATCACTCACCAAAAGCTAATTACTTTCAATTATAAAAGATGCTGGAAATGTTCCCCGTTTTGCTGTAAACATAAAGCTACCCTTCTTTTTTTGTTTTCAAAAATGTTTTCTAACATCACTACATCAATATTTTGACAACAATGTATAATTGCATCCATTAGTTCTTCCAAAGTATGTAATCGATGTTTGTATATGTTATCTTTCATCCATCCAAAAATTGAATAATCAAGTGGAGTCAAATCAGGTGAACGAGCAGGCCACTCTGGATTAAGATTTTGACTTATTATACGATCCCCATAAAATTCTTGCAAATATCTTAAATTTTCCATTGTTTTATGGGCTGGGGCTCCGTCTTGTTGAAAATAACCAAATTCCAATTCCTCATCATCCAAGTGGTTTAGAAACACCTCTAATATTTGCTCCCTATACCTTGCGGAATTAATTGTGTTGTGAAAGAATATTGGCCCAATCACTCTTCTACGCGAAACCGCTAACCACACGCCAACTTTAACAGAGTGTAAAGGCCTTTCTTCAAAAACAAAAGGATTTTCAGCACTCCAAACTCTATAATTTTGCGAATTAACATAGCCATTTAGATGAAACCATGCTTCATCAGAAAAAAATGACAAATCCAAAATTCTGTTGTTGTTCATGTTGTTTTGAAACCATTCACAATATGCAACACGACGAGGATAATCAGCTGGTTTAAGTTCATGGATTGACGATACTTTATAGGGATGCATATGTAATGTTCTTTTTAAAACTTTCTGACAAGTGGTGTATGGGACACCAGATTGCAAAGACAGTTTACTCAAAGATTTTTTTGGGCTTTGCTCCATTCTTTCCCTCAAATCTTCAACCACCTCTTCACTAACTGGGGGCCTTCCTGGTGACTTGCCTTTAGAAACATTTCCAGTGCTGTTGAATCGGTCAACGATTCTTTTTATGTGTGTCATTAAAGACTGTTCTTCAATGTTTAATTCTGGAAATTTTGCCAAATACTCATCCTTGCAGGCTTGAACAGAATACACCCATTCCCCGTCCGCATTTAACGTCCCATTTCGATAGTAAGACATAACAATAAACGTATTTTGTTCAAGAGTGTACCCCATCTTAACCTAAAACAGATTTATTTGAAATATGAATACACATTAATTCATTTCTAGTTACCTTAATCGCTGTTATCAAATCGTTGTAGTTTTGATAAAAACTGGTTTAATTCAATTTAATTTATAACAAAGAAGACTGGAACAACACAAGTAAACAAGACGTGCGCGGGAAAGTATTATGACATATGACCAGCATGACATTCTTCTGACAGCAAAGCAAAACAAAAATTCCCCATAACTTTAGTGGACTATAATTAACAATTTTTTGAAAGTGAGAAGCGGCACATCAAAACAATTGCGTCAGCGCCTACTTCGACTACAATCATTTATGATAACCCTGTATTTCTCGTTGCCTGCGTTGACAGTTGCGCTGATAAAGCCTGCCGAATAGCCACCTTTGACAGATAATCCAGTAGTTACTTTCGACGCCATTTTCCTTCTGAGGGCGCTAGTTATCCTTGAATGACAGTTCAAATTTGAATTTGACACATTAGTTTGTATATGTAATTTTCGTAATTTTGAACTAATAAAATACGATTAAAAATGCATTGCTGTATACCATCCTGTTCAAACAAATGTTACCTACCACGAGTTTCCAACGCAGAAGCAGAGGTTTTCTGCGTGGATAAAAAGTATCACTCTTGGGGAAAATTTGAAAGGTTTGCATTCTTTAACTATTAAAAAATAAATAAAATTCTTGATATAACGTAATAATGAACGTTAATTTCATTTAAGAAAACTTTGAACCTCCTTCGGAGAGGCCAAAAGTCTGTATTCTTCATTTTAATAAAAGTTATTTTTTCTACGATTCTGTGGGTAGATGCAGGCTAAAAAGCCATGCAGTTCCCCAGTTTAACAAAGGTGTAAGAGAGAGGTGTAAGAAGGTGTGTAACTGATTAACCGAAACCATTTTCATCAATCAATAATAATCAATGAAAAACTTCACCAACAATCCTAAACCTACACGGAACATCATAAACCAACAATTTCTTCTGTACATTCAAATTGGTCAACTGTCAACGAAGGATAACTAGCGCCCTCAGCAAAATGTGTCCAAATTTTGCATATCGTCCAATTTCGCTATTCGGCAGGCTTTATCAGCGCAACTGTCAACGCAGGCGACGGTATTTCTTATGGAAACAGCTGACACTTTCATAGCCCTGGTACTGTCCTCTTATCAGCCAGTATTTGGTGTCGTACGATTTTCAAAGAAATCCATTGAAACTGAAGTATCCGAAAAAAATACGTATTTGACACGCAAAGGGAAGTGTCTTTTCTTTACTCATCGTGTTTCTAATCTCAGCTTCGAATGATGCAAAAATATTTAAATATTCGTATTTCGCGGGAACGGGTTCTCAAGGTTACACCCGTTGCGCAAATTATACCGAAGTTTCGGTACTGATATTTCCTGTACTTTTGGGTTACCGTTCCATGGAATATTTATTCTCCCTTCCCAGGTTTTTCTACCCGCTGTGTTCAAATGGCATATTTATTCTAGGGCTATTTTCTTTTTACGTTTCTTTGTTGGTGATGCTGTTATTTTTTGACAGCAATTAGGTTTTGTCAAAGAAAAGAAGTTTTATGTATAGAGGGAGTACAGTGTACATATATGCAAACCCTCTCCCCTTTTTTGTACATTCGTGAATGGACGGATAAGGGGTTGAGCCAGTCAGTGGTGTAATTAGATTTTACTGCTGTCTATCAGTGAGTAATCTTTGTCGAGATTTTAGTGGATGTTTATAATAATCAGATACGCGAACGTGTGGGAAGTGTACTAACCACACATTTTGTTTAAAAACCAATATTTTTCGTTTTCTTCAAATGGTATTCAACTGAAACTCATCTGTCACTGTACTGCGAGGGCATAATAAAGCCCTCGTGCCTCACTCTTTTCACTAGAGAGATGTTGGTCACAGTTTGACTGTTTTGAATGTGAAGCTACACGGCACACACCATCTATACTTATTCAATATCTTTGAGGTTTGTCATAGTTGGAAGGTGATTCAAGGATTCAAGGAGGTTTTGTGGTTTAAGATGACAGTGGTGACATTTTACCGATTGTTATCTTTCAGTAAATAATAATTTCGCAAGCGTAGGGTGGCTAAACTAAAAAAAAACAGCTAATGAAAATTGGAAAACAAGATTCAGTTGAGTTATGCCGAATAATGACGAAGATTATTGCATGTAATTCCACTAAACAAAATAATGGTTCTTAAGTTTGTAAGTTTTATTGCTTATATTGTGGTTTTATTTTTGATAAGAGAATTAAGAAAATTTCAAAGACGAAAATCAAGTTTTAAATTTCTTTAAAGCAACAACCACCTGATAACACTGAAATGTTACTTTGTAGGTGTATAAGTTTCGTCAACATCCTTGATTATGAGATTTAATAAACAAGAATTGATAACGTTAGCTACACAACCCTCGACTAAATTTGAAAAAGAAGGGATTTTATACATTCGAGAGAGGCAGGAAGGATTTTTTAGGAAAGCAGAGCGTAAGTATGGTTGTCAGTTTATTTAATATTGTTAATGAAACACCACAAATGAATTAACTATGCTAAGAAATTTTTAGTTTAGACTGTGAATGCATTTATACAAAGATGACATTTAATGACATCGCAACACCACCTTTGAAAACGAGTTGATTATTAGTTAATGTATATTGCCTTCTATCTAAACATATTTACCAGAAGCGCTTACATTTAGTGAGTCATTTTCAGTGAATTATGCTGCTCCTTTTTTTAGTTTTTATTGCATCAAAACTGTGAGCCTTTTAGAACATCAATTTATTTTGTTTAAATTGTAATAGATTGTATATATAATAATACTAGACGTCAAAAATATTATTTTTTAAATTAACTCGAGTATAAATTATGGCTACTTATTAACTGTATAAACAATGACTCATCCTCTAATGCGTTCAACACATTAGTAACTTTATCAGTTATGCTCGTTATACTGTCAAAAAATGTGTCACACCCATAGACATCGATACTTTTGAAGTTTGTGCATACAAACATAATATTTATAAACAAGCATAAGGAAGTATTGTTTAAGGTCATTTCATGTTTTTTGGATGTGTCATGACCCCAAGAATACGAAAAATTGGGTCTCCTGTTTTGGTATATCTCTCTGGTTGGCGTCTGTCGTCTGTGGATTTTTGTTGGACAGATAATCTTGGTGTGTAAGGAATATCCTGTCTGATCATTCCTACCAACAATGGGATGACGTCATCTTCAAATTTTTGTTTAGTAAATGACATCTAAATTTTTATAAAATAACATACTCCTGCATTTGTAGTTTGTGAATCCTTCTTGAGTTTTTACCTTAGACTTCCAGATTTTCAGAAAAAAATAAAATTGAATAAAAAAACATTTTACAATTTAATTTTAAAACTGCAAAACCAAATGTTCTGGAACCTTGTAAACGTATTAAGGTTATTTGGAAGCATGGTAAATCGTTAATCAAAGTTTATCCATTTATAGAAGCAATTCTGAATCAAACCTGTTAGAATTTAAAAGTTGTTAAAATGTAAACAGCAAATTAGATTTACGAATTTAACGTTGCTATGGAAATTTTAAATTTAACATACTTTAAATTTAACAAGTTTTTACAGAATTGCCCCTTATGCGTCCCAAAAACCGACAACGTCATCTTACAATTTCCCGAATAAATGTTTTTTCAATTTTATAAAATAACTTACTTCTGCATTTGTGCTTTATGAATCTGTGTTGAGTTTTTACCCTAAAACTACACATGTTCGGGAAAAAAAAATCAAAATTATATAACATTTTACAATTTAACTTTCATATTGTCTCCACTTTGGGGACGGTCCCGCCTTTTCGCTATGAATTCGGTATGTAGCCGAAAGCCACACACACCCAAAGCATTGGCACCACAGTAGGACGTAATCGGCTCATTCCCTTCTACAGTGCACTCTCGGAGATTTATATGGTGAAAAGCTGCCGAGTGCACACTCCAGTCTTCAGTGACGGCTCGTCAGGGGCGGCAGGGTTGGCCAGGCCGTACCAAATAATTTAATACATAAGAAAACTAATTTTCTTATTAGCATTTTTTACAAACTGATAGGTAAAATGTACAATAATTCATAAAAATTAAAAAATTCATAAACATAAATAAATAAAATGATTACTATTAAATTCTAATAATTAAGACATAGTTTAATGTTTTAAATTCATCCCGCAGAGAAACTATTTTACTATATCAAATGCTGTACATAGGGCGGCCAGCCGAAAAAATAACGAACAGTATTCTACGAGCTACGGCTTTTGCTTTCCGATCGGTATATGGCTGCGTTAAGTCACAATTCTGGCGTAAATTGGAACACACAAGGTCGGCCCATGGCGTTCTGGCCGATTTTGCCGCGGACGACATCGTCGATGCGGCGCGCTCGTTTCTATTTTATTCATTTCCATATTTACAGTTTTTCGTTATCCTTAATACCTTAATGCAAATAAAGGATTGTGAATTATACATTATAAAAAAAATAATTGAAGAACTATGCATGTTACGCATAAAGTTTCAAAATATAAGAAAGTAGTTAATATTAAAATTAATAAGGCAAAATTGGATGATTCAAACAATATTGCAATGTTTTTATTAATCAGCTGATCATAATAACTTTATTCAGCCATTACATAGAAACACTACATTTGTCATCGTTCCACACAAAAACATGTTTACACAAATAACAAGTATATATACCGCGTGTCTGGAAAATGGCGGATTAACTCTTCAGTACGTTATATACAGGGGTTTCGGGAGTCCCGAAAAAATAATAAAAAAATTCTTTATGATGTAGATTAAGAAAAAAACGTAATTTTATAAGAGTAAAATTGGCAACACTGCACACACCTAATGCGTGAATACATTCGGCTTACTTTCTGTTTTCTTAGTAACGATGGTAACTGAAATCCACCTTCGCTTTATATCAGGCAAACATTGTTGTCAAATGGAATTTTATTAAATTATTACAAAAACAACACGGGTGGCGGAAAGAAGATCGAAAATCATTTGATAGAAAGAAAATGATCGAATGTATTTCTTAGAAATGCATAAAATAGAATGTAAATGTGATAGAATATAATTATGATAGATTTAATTTTGAACGAAAATACAAAACATAATAAGCATTCACGTTCGGTAGAAGTAACTGACAGAAACTTTTCTGTGGTTAAGTTGCAATCTTAACATCACTAGAAATTTAAGATTGGCATCAACTGTCTAATTTTCTAATTCAAATGTCAAATCTGAATAGTGTGGAAAAAAAACGAAGTTTTTCTAATTTCAACACGCTTCGTTTCAAGAAAATCCTTAAATACAGCATGGAAACAATTTCCATAAAAGAAATCACGAGAAAGCTCATTTTAAAGGAAAAGAAACAAGAAATATTTCGTGGTTTTCAAAAAATTGGGTAAAACGGAAACAGTTAAACTGGTGGCAAAAATATTCTCCGTAAAGTTCGCTAGTGTTGTCGAGTGTTTTTCGAATTTTAAAATAATACAGATACAGCGGCGCTTGTGCCGTTAATATTATAATCAGAATCAGAAAGACGACTGCGCAGATTTATATACCTACATGCTTTGTTGGTTCCGTTCTACAATTGGTTTTTAAGTTTTATATAATCGTTATTGTTTTGTAAGAGGTAAAACACTCGGCTTTGAAAATAATTGTACGTATTACACGTATAAATTTAGATTTCCGAAGGCGAAGTTTTTCACATTTTAAACACGTTATAGCTGCCAGAATCAAATTTCTAAGGCGGTACCTATCTCCAATTGCGTGATTGTGGTGAAGATTTACTTTTCATTTTCTTGGATGAGACATGGATATACCAGAACGGATCCATGGTGAAATTGTGGATCCATGATGATGACATCAAAGCTTGTCCTCCTAAAAAAACTAGTGAAGGGAAAAGATTCAAAATTTTTCATGCGGGTTGCTCTTTGGGCTTTTAGAGGGATGCGATTTTCTCCTTGGTTCAAAAATAGATTCACCAGATTACCACAAAACCATCACATTTTCGATATTTGACCTTTACTTACTTACATGTCACATTTTTGATACCTACTTTCTGACATTCCAGTAATACATTATACACTAGAACAATTATGTCCGCAGTTACACAGCTTAAAAAAAAAAGTTACCAAATCTAGTTACATCTACCGAACGTGAATTCATTATAGAATTTCTTTAGATCGAAGGCACACTTGTTAGAAATACATTTGATAGAAATTTATTTAATATAAATACATTTGATAGAAATACAATAAGAATTTTTCACTATCACGCAGCACGGTGTCATATTAATTAATTCAATTAAAATTGAATTTTGCAAAACGTTGTTTCTCACGATGGAAGTGACTAGTTTTGAACTCGTTGAAAGCAACAAGGGGAAGAAGAAATTGTATACCAATGGTTTTTTTTACATACAAGAAAAAGTCGCTGGTACTACGGTATATTGGCGATGCGAGTGTTGGCGGAAAAATGGGTGCAAGAGTCGCATCGTAAGTGTTGATAATAATAGTAAATTGACGACGAGGAACGATCATAATCATGAGGGTACACCGACTAAGCTTGAGGTCGCGAAAATGGTCAATAAAATGAAAGAAGAAGCAACAAAAAGTAGAGATGCCCCACGGTCGATCATCTCTAAATGTTGTAGCGGGTTAAGCGAGGCAGCTGCTTTCTGCACTCCATCAGTGGGCAGTTTAGGTCGCACTATTAGACACACTAGAGAAAAACAAAACGTTGGCCCGTCGGTACCTTTAAACGTTCGCGATTTGACACTCCCGGAAGCTTACCAAAAAACGGACAAAGGCGAAAACTTCATAATCCACGATTCTGAATGTGAAGATCGAATAATTATTTTTGGCACAAGAAAGAATCTAGAGATTTTATCGAAAAGCGAAAATTGGTATATGGACGGGACGTTTAAAATTGTACCTGAATTATTCTACCAGCTATACACGATACACGGCAGTTACAAAGATATGCATTGTCCCTTGATTTATGGTCTACTAAAAAATAAAACGGAACAAACATACGGGAGATTTTTCGAACAAGTTCGAATGGCTTTGGAAACACCTCGATCATTTTCTTTCTATCAAATGATTTTCGATCTTCTTTCCGCCACCCATCGAAAACCATAAATCGAAAAATCTAAATGACAGAACTAGACAACACAGTAAATGCTATGACAAGTGCCATGCTGACGTGCGTTTCCCAGGCAATACGTCTAAAGCTCATACGATGTTTCTTCAAATATTGGATCTTCAGAGTTTTTAATAATTTATTTTTCACTCGTATATAATGTTTGTTTTATATCCATGATTTGATAAACGTAAAGCGGCATCTTATATCCGGGGCACAATGAGCGGGCATAAAGAATTATTATGCCCTCTCATTATGCCCTATTTTGCTAAACCGAATTAAACAAAAATTAAAAAAAAAATTGTTTATTTTTAACTACTTATTTATTTTTTGACAATTTATTTAATAACGAAGATACAAATTACAATTTACAAACTTGCTATTCATACTAAACTATTCAGGTAAACTTAAACTTTTCGGAGGTGCCTCTATTGGAATTATTTCTGCCTCTGCTTCCATTCTGCTAGCACCGAATAACGTATTATACAGGGTGTCCCAGAATTCGCGCCATTCCCGTGAATGACATGTTCCCTGTCCCGAACTGTGCCGTAATTCGCAAAAAGAATTGTCCAGGCTTTAACCCTGTGAGAACTGGAAGGCGATTAAGTTGACCAATAGAGAGGCTGCTTTTATATCCGAACGTTTCTATGTTCAAAGTTACCTATGCCAAGAACAAAAAATCGGGTAATACTAAAGTTGAATGAATTTTTTTCCGAATCCCCCTCCGTCAATAAAAGGAAACAGAAGTGTGGTTATAAATTTAATCATTTTGACAATTGTTTGTCATAAACTGTCACGAAGTTCATCACTGACCTGAAGAGATGCTTCTGCGCCAAAGATGACTGATTAATGTACACAGAGACGTCAAGGTTTACTTTAAGGCAAGTAGCATGGGACAGAAGTTATTTCTGCTGCCATTATAGTTAAATTGTGTTTAACTGGGCTGTACATGTCATAAGAGAAGCTGTTTCATTTCATCGTAGGCAAGTAATACATTTGTTACTATTCTACATAGTGTAGATACCGAAGAGCAGGTATTAGAAGTCATTTTCTTAGAGCCCCGTGAATAATGTGTTGTTCTTTTTAACGAAAATTAGTACATTTTCAGAATTCACTATGCATCATATGCCTGATATTAAGTTTATCGTTATTTCTAAAAAAGAGTACCACATGTCCATTCAAAGAACGTTATTAAGTGTACTAAAACATAAATATCGCTTTTGATTAATCGGTGCTTATGATTTTCAATAAACAGTATCAATTTTTACTGAACAGCTTTGTTGCTGATACCTAATCTAAGCAACGAAAAAAGAGACGAGACTCCACTTCTCTGGTGTATTAAGATCATAGGTATCTGCTGTGGTGTCAATCATGTGGGGGAGATACTGAAAACTGAGACTTATTCAAGAATAATATTGATGTTGCACATGATGATTCAAAACAGTTTCTTTAAAGTTGTGAGTACTTTCTAGAGATTGAAAAGATACGAATAAAAATTATAACAAAAATCGTTTAGTTGCAATTTTTGTTAAGAACAATACAAACTATAAACAAATCAGTACCAATACCACTAAGTTATTGATGTCTTATTCATACTAGTATAAAGAATATTTGGAAATGATGTTAATTTATGGAGAATGTAAGGCGATCAGGTAACACAAACGGCCCCACCTAAAAAAACAGGAACGGAGTTTAGTGATAATTTTATCAGATGCATCAAAATTTTTACCACAGTAGTATCATTGATTCCAGCCCATAGATTAATAGTAAATCGCTCCTGATATGCTCTCACCCTAGTGAGATGTGGATTTGCGTGTGCCCAGAAATGCCAATTGTGTGCATTAAACATTCCTTCTCGGGAAAATGAACATTCGTCGGTGAAAAGAATGCGCCGTGTAAAATCAGGGTTTAGTTCATTTTGTCGCAGTAACCATTGAGCAAAATGTACTCGTCGCGACTAGTCGGTTGGTCGCAGATGCTGCACTCTCGTGTAATGGTAAGGATGCAGTCTTCTCTCTTGAAGAATACGATGAGTGGTCGATCTTGAGCATTCACTCATTTGCGCTACGTAGAGGACACTTCTCCTAGGATCCGCTTCCATGTTTTCTAACACTTGCTCTTCAGCACCTACACGTACATTCCGTAGAGCCCCAGCACGGCCTTTCCGACTAGGTTGAAAAGATCCATCTTCTCTTGCTCGATGTAACAATCGGTGAAACACATGTTGGTCTAGGTGCCGACGATTATTCACGGGGCTCTAAGAAAATGACTTCTAATACCTGCTCTTCGGTAGCTACTCTATGTAGAATAGTAATAAATGTATTATTTGCCTACGATGAAATGAAACAGCTTCTCTTATGACATGTATAGTCCAGTTAAACACAATTTAACTAGAATGGCAGCAGAAATAACTTCTGTCCCATGCTACTTGCCTTAAAGTAAACCTTGATATCTCTGTGTACATTAATCAGTCATCTCTGGCGCAGAAGCGTCTCTTCAGGTCAGTGATAAACTTCGTGACAGTTTATGACAAACAACTGTCAAAATGATTAAATTTATAACCACATTTCTGTTTCCTTTCGTTGACGGAGGGGGATTCGGAAAAAAATTCATTCAACTTTAGTATTACCCGATTTTTTGTTCTTGGCATAGGTAACTTTGAACATAGAAACGTTCGGATATAAAAGCAGCCTCTCTATTGGTCAACTTAATCGCCTTCCAGTTCTCACACGGTTAAAGCCTGGACAATTCTTTTTGCGAATTACGGCACAGTTCGGGACAGGGAACATGTCATTCACGGGAATGGCGCGAATTCTGGGACACCCTGTATAAAAATCTAGAATTGTGTTCACTCATCCTCCAACTACCTTTACTGCATAAAACATTCGTATTTAAATTAATTACAATCATCAAAAAATAACTTAGTTTACCTTCTGAAGTAAATATCTGTTGTCGGAAGCATCTTTTACAAATTGCGTGACTTGTCCGCCAGTCAAAACTCGGGATTTTTTTGCCACATAACCTTTTGGGTTCTTTATAGAAATATGTCAAACGATGATAATTAGAAATGTCTATGTTGTCGTTTACTCTTAAAGTTGCCTTGACCATCGAGTATTTTCACCATGAGGAACTGGGTGAATATTTTTCTGACTAAAAATGAAGAACACAGTTAAATAATTATTTTATAAACAGAATAACTCACCAATTCTTGGAAGTAAGCCACTTCTTAATCTTTCAATTAAGGAAAATTTTGTATTCTTTTTCATATATGGATCCTGATGTTCCAGGTAACACATTTTCATTGGCTTTTTGCGCTTTCTTCACAATGTTTTCTGGAATTTCACAATTTTCCTCATTCATTTCCGCGGTCGAAAATATACGTGTTGACACCGTGAATAGACGCCGTGTTTGCAATAAACATAGAATCTCCTTGACAACAAAATCAACGCCACGTAAATTTTTTTTTTACGAATTAATTATATAAATTAGTGTTTTTTTTTAGATTTTCTCGTGAAAAATAAAAGTTTGTATGCACCACGGGCACAACTTGATGTTTATAAATCTCGGGCAACTTACAAAATCTCGGGCCAGAGGCCCTCGATTTTGTAAACGTTGCCCTCGAATATAAACATCTTCTTTGTGCCCTTGGTACATAAATAACTATTATAATAGGTATTTACAAATGAGAAACAAATAAAATATTGAACAATACACGCAAGGTAACGGGTTTTTACTGGCTCCTTCTGTCGGCCAGTAAAAACCTTTTTACCATGCTAGTAATGTTAAATACTATATTTTAACAAAATAATATTTACTGAGGTAGGTAAAATTGCTTTTAGGTCGACATTTGATTTGACAGATGTCAGTCGACGACGCCTGCGTACATTAATAAACGCAGCGCTATTGCTGGAATTTATAAATACAATCTGAATTGTCGGCGGCGTCAACCTCTTCGCGTCCGATAGCGGTAGCGTCAGACGGGCGGACGTCAATCTATAAATAGGGCTTAAGGGTCAAGTCACTAAAACTGCACAAGGAGGTGGCCAATGAACCACTGATAGTAAATGGTTGTGTCTCAGTGCTTGCTAAAATAAAATATACGTCGCTTATTTCTTTGTACCAATAAAAATTGGAATCAAAATAGCAACAATTTTTGGTTTAAAAATGCACCAGTGCGATCAAATGAATTGCGAAAATGAACCAAATCGGGTGCGTTTGTCATTGGCACTTACATAAAAAAAAAGTAAAGATTTTCAACCACTCAAATAGATCTACAGCCGTGAGTCAACTTTCAGAAGCTGGTGTAAGTTAGTTGTCAAGAAATAATTAAAATTCTCTGAAACCCTACTTACAATTAAATCAAAATCATCATTGCAAAACCGATCTTCTCACAAAGAGTCCGCGGTATTGTAGAGCTTACCAGCCCTGTGTTGAATTTTGAATTGATACTGTTAGAGTCATTCAAGCCATCTAGCCACTTGTTCTTCGGGATTCTGAAATCTGAAAGAGCCATGGAACAGCTGCGTGATAGGTTCTAATTACAAATTCGCGTCCGTAGAGATATTTATGGAAGTGTTCAACAGCCTGAACAATCGATAGTACGCTGCTTTTTCTTCCTTGTCCTGCATTTGTGACAATACGGTACTTATGTTGCTCGCGTCTGTATCCAAAATGAACATTCCCGATGATTGAGGGTACGGCAGAGTAGGACTAGAGCATAGTGAATTCTTCAGTCTTTTGAAGACTGCCTCACATGCAGCAGTCCAATTAAACTGAAAATTCAAATCCGTCAGTCTGTAGAGGAGCAACAATATCAGCAAACCCGTTGACAAACTTTCTGTAGCAAATATGTGCATAATTCCAAGAAACTCCGGACTTCGTGCTTATGTCTTGGTCTTGGCCAATCGCGAATTGCTTTGATCTTCGTTCCCGCAGTCTTGATTCCGTTTGCTGAAACAGTGTGTCCCAAAAATTCTACTTTTTTTTGGAAGAGGCATTTCTTCGGATTCAACTTCAAGTTTATCTCCTTCACTCGGATGAATACTTCTTCTAGGTACTCCTCAAATTTCTTCCCAAATATCATGTTATCGTATAAATAAATCAAATATGTTTTCTGTGTTAGCAATTGTAATACCATTTCCATTAGCCTCTCAAAAGTAGCCGGAGCATTACACAGTCCAAAAGGCATTACGCTAAATTGATACAAACCACTCTCGGCAGAAAAAGCGTTTTTCTCCTTGTCTTCTAGATGAATACCAATTTGCCAATAGCCGGTTTTTGAGGTCCAATGTGGAGAACCAGGCAGATCTCGATAATGTTTTCGTTACATTGTTTAGTTTCCTGTAGTCTACGCAAAATTTCGTTGACCCGTCCTTTTTTGATAACTAGCACTACATTCGAAGACCATAGACTCTTTGACTCCTCTATAACGTCGTCATCCAACATTTTTCGTACCAGTTCCTCAGCTTCCTATTGTTTTGCGAAAGGTAGTCTTCGCGGGACTTGACGGATCGGTTGCGCGTCTCCAGTGTTTACCCGATGTCGCGGTATGTTTGTGCGCCCAAACGACTGTCTAGATGCAAACATTCCGTTGTGTTTCTCCAGAAACTGTCTTGCCACTTTCCTTTGATTTATCAAATAGATGAACAAGTTCTAGAGCTCTAGAATTTGTAAGCTGCTTCTTATTCCTTCATCATTGTTTTCAGAAAGATTCTCCTTGTGATGAAATATCTTTATGACTGGTTCACAGACGGCAAGAATTTCTCCACTCTTGATGTTTATGGATTTGGGAAAAATATTTGCGACGAGTACAGGTATATACAGCGCGTCTATAAATGTTTGTAAATCAAGTAGTTTATGGAAAACTTGTCAAAACTGTAGTGATCAAAATTTGCCGCTTTAAGAAATAGGGAATATTTATTATTAAACTCTGAATTAATGGGTATCTACCTCGCAGGCGCCATTTAGTAACTTCTTTACCAAATCCAATTAAAAAGTTTTACAGATCAGTACGTTGAAGGAAGTTAAAAAAATATTTTGAATCGATTTAAGGAATAACGACCTAACACACGTTGGGCGTTTAGTCCATCCAACTCCTCAATTTGAGAACAAAAATATTGCCAGTTGCATGAAGATCTGATCTACTTCAGGTTGTCTGTTAATCCGTTTAGATCAACCACATCTAAATCTACAAGTAGTTTCTGTGTAGGCCTGGTGTTTTTAAAAAGACTTACACCACTGTAACTTCAATCCATCCAATTAACATGAATCTCTTTGACTTCAACAACTTCTCATGTCCAACGATTTACACTAACATCTACAAATTCCCTCTATTTTGCTGCAAACACATTCTGATTCTCCTTTTCTTATTTTCAAAAATATTCTGCAGCATTTCTTGATGAATATTATTGCAGTAGTTTGTAATGTCCTGCATCAATTCATCCAAATTTTCCATTCTACGCTTAAAAACAGAGTCCTTCAGAGATCCAAATATAGAGAAGTCGAGCGGAGTACGGTTTGGGGAATGTGCTGGCCATGGAAACGTTTGGGGGTGGATCAGTGTTCTGCACCAAGGAATATGTTTAGTTGTTGAGGAACGATTATATTAGCAGCATTACTTAGTTTATAGAGATATTTTAGAGGAAGTAATGCTACCGTCCGTATTATCTGTTTTCGGTGATAATTTTGTTTTCCAGCAAGATAATTGCCTCATTCATAGAGCACATGTAGTGAGAGAGTTTCTAGAAGAGAACAATGTTCGCACATTGCCTTGGCCGGCCAAGAAAGTTCTGTCGAAATAATTTTCGACAAATGTTTTCATTTTTCATTCTCTGATTGCCCTGATTCTTCTGTATCGTAAATTCCAACAATAATTAATTGTCACCCAAAAAAGCGTGTGATTTTTTTTATTTGTTGCTGTACGATTTATTCAGGGACTGCAAAACCCAATGCTTTGAAATCTTGGAGACCTTTTAATATTATCAGAAGTATGACAATTTTTTTATCAAAATGTGTTTGCTCATCCCCCCTAAAAAACTGATGACGTCGGCTCAAAATTTTGCCGAATAACTCCTATCTTCAATGTGCAAAGTATGATGAGTCTATAATTGTGATTTATCAGTGCATTAGTATTTTTTAGATTTGCTTATACAGGGTGTCTCAAAAAGATTAATGAGTGAGTCACTTTATTTTATTGTTTAAGTCAAGACTTGCAATGATAATTTAACATTCCCAAGTTTTTATATATTATTTGTGTTTTAAATACGAAATACTTAGGAATACATTATATTCGTACTGTCAACCTATTATTATTAATAGTTATTTATGCAGCTACTGAGTAAAGTGTATATATTTCGAGTGAAAGAAAGCAACTTTACTTACGAGTTGCATACAATATTTTTTTCACGTTCGTAACAAAACTCAACAACCACCAACTTCAAAAACTTTTTATTTTGGAACATGGATATTAAATGTAGCCGTATTTGCCGTCTTGACAATTTTTTCGGGGGTGCACGAGAAATCTTCATCGCTGTCCGATTCCATTGTGCGAGCACACAAATTACTACAAAACACCGAGAAAACTAATGCAAACCACTTGTGTTGATGAATTATCATAGCAACTGCAGGCTTCTATGTTTTACTTTCGTTAAAAAATGACACGCTACGACACTTTTTTTCACTCAAATGCGTGAAAAAATGAAACGCTATGACACTTTTTTTCACGCTTCTAGTGCTATGAAATAAACGTATCCTTCATAAACAAAAAATAATAAAAAATGTTACACTTTTTTTAACGAACGTTAAAAAAAATATCATTGTGTTGTTATTTACCTACGTACATACAAGCGGCACATTGAATGTCACTTGACCGTTAGTGAACTCATAATGAACTCAGTTTCGTTTGATGTCAGGTCTTGTTCTAATCTAAAAAAAAAAACAGTGAATATTAGGCAATCTTAATTGTTGTCATAGGAAACAACAATTTTAAATTGATACTTATACACAAAACATTCATAAAATACATTTTCCGTCTTTTCTACCTGATCTAGGGCCGGTTTATAGAACAGCGAGTTAAATATTTAATCCCCGATTAGTTTAACAGAGAATTAAAATGTGGAATATGAGTCCGTGATTGGTTAAAAATTGCGCGTTGCCTCGCAACGAACCTCAATTAAAAGTTAATCGCGAATTAACTTTAACTTCGCTTTCTATAAATCGGGTCCTAGTCTGATTTTCAATGCCATTTCGCTTGACTTATTTTCATCTCCCTACAGTTGTTTATTCATAAATACAAGGGTAGGAACGAGGAGGTTGGAACAAAAACAGAGGGGATCTGTTGTATGCTTCCAATAGTACGGTTTTTTTTTTTTTAATAAACTCAGCATGGTGAGCAGCAAACGTTGTAAATCATGAGATGGAAGTAAACAAATAGAAAGACACTTGGTTTTCACAAGTTTCAGTTTCTTTCATCGCCATGACGGATGAAGTTGCTCCGCCACTGCTTTTTCGATACTTTCGAACCTAGGGGCCTGGTTAACTCGAGTGCATAGTCGTAAACGGTGTTTAGATCCAGAGAAATCAGTGCCACAAATTTCACCGTGATATCCTTCCGTTCTTATTCCACTCTCCTCGGGGTGACTGGACAACGACATCCGATTCGCAAAACTCTTGATACTTTCGGATAAACAACCCATAAGCAGGGAAATTTTTTAAGTCATCAGTATTATAATCTTGAACAGTTTATTTAGATTTTCTATAATAACCACTTTTGGAAACAAAGTCGATGTTCACTATTATTTTCACAGTATTGGTTAAGTAAACGTGTTTTTCAGAAGACGCTTTATCCACAACTCTTAATTTTAATTATTTTACAACTATTAGTTATAATTTAAATTACTTGATAACATTTATTTAACTGATTCACTAATTATAAATTATTGGGAGAGCAACCGATTATACAATTTGAGGGATAGTACTGAACCGAACTTTTACATGAATTCGTTTCAGTTTACTTGAAAAATGTGTGATTCAATTCCGTATATAAAGAGGAAAAATAGAGACTTAAAGTTCTCATGCTGTTGTGTGGTGCAGATGTGAAAACTCTCTTTTGTACGTGGCTGCAAATGGCACTGTAGAATGTTTGTCCGTTGTGAAATTATGACAATATTATAAATATGCTGTTTTAATTTTTAAGTTGTTTTTTGAATTGTTTTAATTTTAAATTGTAAGTATGCCCAATTATCTTGTTCCTTCTGATTCAGGATTGCATTTCACAGGTTAAATAACCGGTCTCTACTTTGGAGAAAAACAATGTGAAAGGGTTTATCGTCATTATGTTCTGTCGAACTTCTACAAATTTGGAACATATTTCAAAGAATAATAAAATCAGGTTGTTTTACAACTAACTGTAAAATTGGCTTACCGAACAGGACCCTTCTGCAGTTTGTTTTATACCATTAGGTTTGATATCGTGAATTAAATATTATTTATTAGAGTAATAATTATGATTCGTTTTCTGCGGTGCCATCTATTTCAAAAGAAGAAATGCTACATTAAAACTTTTATGTAGGAATATGTCGATACATGGGTGCAACTGTGACAAATCATGTTATGATAACAATAAATTTGTTTTGATTTATTATATCAGGATTAATTGTTAGACCAAAGGCGGTGGTAGCTAAAATTTCATGTAGCCTACTCATTAAACAACTCCTACGTACTCTGATGCTATTTAATGATTATTATCATACAATTAAAATCTGACAATAACGCGAACAAATGGAAACATTTAAAAAGAGAGGAAATATGACCTGTTGAAACGCAAAGTGGTGTAAGTCAGTTTAAAACTCAACGTGGCGTATGTTGACTTATGCCACTTTGTCTTAGTTTGAAATACGATCTTTGTTATATAGCGAACATATTTAGTATTCTTTTTCGGCCAATTTCTTAAAGACACTAAAAATTTGCCTTTCAATAGGTACCTTGCTTTTTCAGTGGCCACTTGGCATACAAATCTGCAGTTTTTTCACAAACTGATTTACGCCACTTTGCGTTTCAACCTCGCGATTCAGAAAGTGAATTTGGGGGTACACCTCCAGAAATTATTGAAAAGGCAGCTACCGCTACTAGTAACCTGCTACCAGAAAAGTCAAAAGAACGGTATAAACTTAGATCATATAATAAATAGATACCAATACTCAAACTGAAAGTTGTGACTAGACATGAAGCTATTTGTTGTCGTTTTCTACGTCAAGGGTAGTAGTATAATGCTATCCTTGTGTGATCACCACCTCTTCATCTTTGTTATATGCATTTCATCTGTATATGTCTATTTCACTTCCATCCTTGTACCGCACCAGCGCAACAAATCGCTTTTGACAGATGTTTCTTCTAACCTCTCTTTTGAGTTGTTGTACAAAAAACAATTTTAGAATTTAGAACAAAGATCCTATTTTAAGTGATGTAGTCATAAAGGATCACAATTGCTGCCCAATAATTTACTATTCCTTTTGTTATCTACTGTGAATTATTTATAAAATCAAGCTGTCAACATCTTTCTTCCGAAGTTAGTTCAGACATACTTCCTAAAATTTAGGCGCGCAAAATTCAAATAGTGATCAGGCAAGGATAGCTTCATTGTAATCCCTCCATGCACGAGAGAGATGTGTGACAGGAGGATGTCGTCACAGGCTGTTCTAGGGAAAGAACACGGCATGGTGGTATCTATTTATTATATGATCTAAGGGTATAAAGCAGAAATATATGGCCCCTATTATAATAAAAAATTGCTAAAAGTTTACGGTTAATTTAAATAGTAAGTGGGTAATTCTTAAAGTCGTTCATGTTGTTCATATTATTTATATATATTTTTTTGTACATGAAAAAAAAATTGTTATTTCAATAAATAAAATTTGATTTTGTAATTTTAATTTTTTTTGAAATTTTAATTTTCGTAGTCGTAGAAAAAGTATAGTACACAACTCGTGTGGTCAGCCTATTATACACTTTCTCGAATTACGCAAACTTCGAGGTCGTGTATAATAGGCTCTTTAGCAGTCTTGCTATGTAATTTACTATTATTCCAAGGTAAACGACCTCAGATTTGGACTTCATTTACATTACTCTCTCAAAAGTGTGACATTTTCTTCCTTTTTGTTTTATGGGTAGTTATATCGTATAATTTCGTAACAGTTTCTTAAATGTCATTATTAATTCTGTATATTTAAAATGTTGAGACAAAAAATTCTTTATGAAAGTGAAGTTAGATCTGAAGACGTTTATGGGGGAATAAAAAAAACTTGTCAGCGACTTATGTAACTTCAATCTGAGACGTCCCACCCCTGTTCATCATCAGAAAAAGAACATTTTCTTCATAAGCCAAACGTAACAACTAAAAAATTGAAACTACAGAAATAACCCTAAATCTATCAGTTAGGAAATATCCATTGCTTATATGAGATAAAAAGGTGTTTGATTTGTGAAGCATTTGCGTAAAATCTCATATCTTTTTTCTTTATCTATTTTAGTCGTATGGAATTTTAAGTTAGTTTATTACATTTTATTTTTTATTTTATCGCTTTATTTTCTAAAAAAAAATCTGACCTAATTTATTTTTTAATCATCATGTATTACAGGAAAAGGAAAGAAATTTCAAAAGCGTGAAAACCGTCTTCGCAATCCGAGCTGTATTGGGGGAATAAACAAAGGTATTACCACATGCACCAAAGGTTCTAATGCAACAGTGCTTAACTAAATAAAATTTCTTGTTTCTTAGGACATTTAGAAACTAGAAATAATTCACGAACCAAGTTTTTGAACAGTATGTTTCTTGTGCTCATAGCATAGTGAATACCAGTGATCCAAATGCACGCATAATTTATGCTTGTCAAAAACTTCGTTCATTTAATTACGTGCAAAAGTTTTAGTTATTTGGCTGTAACTTTCACCAGAATACACCAGTGCCAAGCTTGTTTGATATAAACTAAAATATGTACGTCACAGTACCATTAACATTTAAAATAGCAGTGAGTTTTGAATAGGTAAATAAAAAATTTTAATAAAACATACATAAATGTTAAGGGTACTGATGCATGGCCGCAAGTTTGAAAATTCACATTGTAACGGTATCGGCACTGTAAATTCTAATTTTTAGGTAAAATAAATAAAAAGAAAAGTGATGATTTTTCAAAAAGTGAACGATACTATTTTTAAGAATTGGTATTTTGGTAAAAATCGCTTATAAACATTTTTTTTTATTTACCAATTTATTTGATGTTTTACTTTACATTAATTAGAAACATTAAAGCATTTCTACAGGAAAAGAGCAAAAAGTAGTTTTAAAATAACTGCAGTCGGATATTAAATTTCCATTACATATGAATGGATTTTGTTATAAACGTCAAAGAATAAACAGAAACTGCATGATGTCACCAAACAGCAAATATAGGGTGAATGTTCTTAAAAGTTACCACTCTCTTCTTTTATTTTTTGAACAGTAAAGTTGTAGATAAACAAATTAAATCAAGTATGTATGTGTAGGTAAACTATCTGTTAAAAATTAATTTATATAAAAAAAAAAATGCAGCAAGCCATGAACACTGATCGTATCGACGTACATACAATCCGGATATTAAGGTTGACCGTTTATATGAACCACTGAGCATTAAAATTAAAAATTTTGCTTACTGCAAACATAGTGACTGTAAAAATCCTTTCACGCTAATGACACAATTAGGTAGAACGTACATTTATATTTTGAACATATTTTAGCGTTAGTTTTTTAGATATTTGAAGTTTACATAAAATTTTATCAAAATTATTATGGAAAATTTTAAATTAGCTTAAGTTTAATAGCATTTCTGTTAAGGTTCTGACAATCTCTAGCAATTGACAAGCAACAATCTGCTGACATCGTTGGTGACCACTTTCCTTGGTAGCGTTTTTCCAGTGAAGAAATGTCCTGATGAAAACGCTCACCAGTCAGTGATGAACACTGACGAAGGCGCAATTTGAAGGACAAAAATCGAGATGGTATTATAGAAAATGTATTTTCGAGGATATGTTACAATTGCTAGTCGCTAAAAACTTTTTAGGCGACTGCCTTAAACGTGTTCCATGCTCGCTTTGTCTACTAGTTAGTTAGTCTACATGGTGTTTAGATTTAGAGAAATTGGTGCCACAAATTTCAACATATTGTCCCTACGTTCTTATTACATCCTCCTCGCTTAGAATACTTGTTAATCGATTTAACCGTTCGAATCGTAACTTTTATTTTTTCCAAAGCTTCGTCCAAGTTACGCGTTTCACTTTCGAAATGAACAATTATTTTTGATAAATGTTTACAGTTTTGATGGATAAAATTCGAATCGTTTTGTATGTTAGGTTTTAAATAATTTGCTTGCACTCTGTGATGTTGCATCATTTCATGGCATGTCGTAATGGAGACTAAAATGCCGTACATTCTGTCGAGAAACAAAATATAGATGTTTTAATGCTCTGTACGATAGCAAACGGCATTGCTCCTCTTCGAGAAGAACAAATAGTTTTTGTCAAGAAAAAAAACCAGGAAAACCTTAATAATAATAATACTTTTTTTTAATAAACTATCCACAATTACACCAATGAACGATAAATAATCAAATAACGCTTGACGAACTGATGAATGACATCAATAGAACACAAAACTTGAAACCAGCAGGACCAGACAAAATACACAATTTTGGAAAAAAAAAGATTCAGTTGTGGTGGTGTACACACTCATTTAGTAAAACATCTAAACTAGTTCCTTCTTTTAACCCATCAACATTTCCAATATTTTTGTGTCGTGATGTAACATATCTAAAACGTAAAGATGATGACACAACAAATCCATTAAAATACAAACTTATCATACTAACAAAATACTAACCTTATGCATAACACAAAAAAATCTATCAACACTCTTTTAAATCCGACATCATCAACCAAGAGCAAAAATGATGTATTAAAGGATCCTTTGGTTGCAAAGAGCAATTAATCATATGTTCCATCATCTGTGAACAAGTCAGGAAAGAAAACAGAAACATATATACTGCTTTTGTGGATTATAAGAAAGCTTATGATTCAGCCCCGCATTAATGGCAAAATTGTGGAATTATAGTATATAAGTTGATCCTAAAATATGTGCTCTTCTCAAACATACAATGGAATTTTGGAAAACTATTCTTTGATCAAACGCTTCAATCAGATCCAATAATGATCACAAGAGGAATCTTTCAAGGCGATTATCTCAGTTCATTGTGGTTCTGTTTGGCAATAAATCCTGTTTCCGACATCTTGAATAGATGTAATTATGGTTTCAATATAAGAATTAACACCAAAGCAGAAAGTAGGTTAAGTCACTTGCTATATATGGATGATATAAAAATACGTGCAAGTACGAAAAATCGATTGACAAAATTTAAACATCTCAACAAAAAAATCTTTCACACAATATAGAAGATATCATCCGAAGTCATCAATTGAAAGATTTTCATTACCAAAACAGAACAGAGGAAGGGGATTCCAGAATGTAGAAAATTTATACAAAAGACAAGTTTCACAAACACCCCACAAACTAGACAACATAATAAGTGGACTGAAATTAAAACAACTACATGGAAAATTCTTCAAAGAGCTAGACGAAATTCACATCAACAAGAAAATGTCATTGATTGGGCTCAAAAAATCAAGTTTATATGCCGTAAGGGAAGGGTTTTTGTTTGCTATTTAAGAAGTAAATAATAACAAAAATTACAAAAAATATATAATCAAAGATCCAAATATAAGAAATGATTGTTGTCGACTTTCTAGAGTAAAACCCGAAACGATTCAGCACATAACTTCATCCTGTAGCATCTTGGCACAAACTGACTACAAAGCTAGACACGACAACGCAGCCAAAGTCATTCGCAAACAAATCTAAACTTAATCCAAGATACGACACCGTATTACACTTACATTCCATCTCTATTCCTTGAAAACAGAGAATACCATCTATATTGGGATCGCACAATATTTACAGACAGAAACATTACAGCCAGATATCATCATAGACATTGCTGTTTCTAACACGCACAACAAACATACTACACCAAAATTTCAAAATATCTACAATTATCAATAGAAATGAAGGCAATGCTAAATCTTGAAAAAATTTCAATTCTGCCTTTAGTTATCTCGAATGTAGGTGTAGTACCCAATAGTTTAGTTGGGAATTTGAAATATTTACACTTAAATGATTCAATAATTGTCAAAATGCAAAAAACTGTTTTGTTAGGAACATGTCATATTGTTCTCGACTAGTCTGATCATGTCAGTCAGGATATGTTAGCACCAGTAGGTCGGAGTAGTGTAGGTCACTTTTCAAGTGATGCGCGGATAAATGATCGGCAGTTATGCTAGGGTCTTGGGGATAGGGTGAGATTAGAGAATAACAGACGAATTTGTATGTCTCAAAATCTCCAAAAATTTTTATTAATCTAATCGATGCATATCATTACTTGGTTTTAGTACCCGTAATGATGGAACTCTTACCTGAATGCCGTTCATTTTCGTGTCAGTGATGGGTTCTAATAATAATAATTTATTGTACTCAACTGAGATTGGTCGCCAATTGAAGAACACAAAATAGGAAAATTTATATTATTATGTAACACCTAGGTAGTAATAGTTAGTAGTCAGTAAATTCACTTTGTTATCAGTGTTAGGCATGTTAATAGAAAAACGAACCGTTGAACACATACAAGTGATGACGTCCCAATCAACTAACTCCAGGGATTTGTAAAGACAGAATTTTCCAAATTCGGTAATGGTTCGTGAAATAACAATCTTCGTCGATTGATTTACAGGAAAATGAATCGCAAGCCATATTTCTCGATGGTCAGAAATACCTAGATCTATAGGACTAACACGGAGATGATAATCTTGTATATTTGTGAAAATATTGTCCAGACAATTTATCCCTCTAGTGTTAAAATTGACAATAGCTTTAAGAGCGTATCGTAGAAGTAAGTCCAACAAGGCATTTTTTTGCATCATTGAAATTGAAAATGATACCTAGGAACGCACCAAAGTCGCCTGATGGAGGACGATATAGAAATATAACCGTTAGCTCAAGGCAAAATATATATGCTGTCGGTAATAAATTCTTGATGTGTAAAAATAATGGATCCATCATATCCTTTACCTCCTCTTGAGAAGTAAGATTTTACAGAATATCCTTTAACTGATATAACGTTGCACTCGGGATTTGACAGCCAATGTTCTGTGATGCGTATAATAGAACGTGACCAATTTTGATCTTCAAGAAAAGCGTCCAGTTCTTCATGTTTATAAGTACTGAACATTTTGGTGCAAGATATTAATGCTATTTTTTGCAGGGACAAGATCTCTGTTTTTATTCGATATGTAATTTACCTTATGCTTTTCTAAAAGTGTTGATTTCGTTAAATTCGTTATGACCTTGTTTGCTAGTGGATTGTTGCTTTAGAAAATAATAACGATTTAGCACGATACCCTTTGGCCAAAAGTTTTCATTCAGTACCGTATCTTTGTTTGGAAAAGATACCATAATTCTAAATCAAGCCGCGCTGTTTTTACTTTTAAGATCCAGTTTTACAACGTCAGATTCACATACACTGCTAATATGTTTCTTTATGTACTCCGACGTAGTATCACGATCAAAGCG